TTTCATTTTGCATTTACCGAAACATCTCGAAAAATCTTTCATTTCACAGGGCGCTGCTCTGCAGCCGCGGAAGATGGTGCGGGTTGATGACTACAAACAGGGTGCTCCTACGGAGCGAGCGAGTTAATGACATTTGAAAATGAGGTTCCAACACTCGGGATGTAGTTGCGAATTCCTATGTTTGCATTTCTAATTGCAGTTGATTGCCTGGATTTCATTTTCACCGCATAATTGGCTGTACGGGCCTTTGACACATTCATCAATATATTCGTCAAATTGTTGGGTACACCTTGCCGCAGAGCGGCACCCTGTTTGTAGCACGGCACCCCTCGCTCTTGCGAGCAGCTGCAGAGCAGCGCCCTGTGATCTACTACCTTTTCTTAATTAACGAACCATATCGAAGAATCTTTCAATTCATAGGGCGCTGCTCTGCAGCCGCGGGAGACGTTGAGGGTTGTATGCTACAAACAGGGCGCTCCTACGGAGCTGGCGAGCTGATGATATTTGAAAATTGGGCTCTAACACTCGAGGTGTATTTGCGAATATCTTTGTATACTAATTGCACTTGCAGTTGATTGTGTGTATTTAATTTTCACCGCATAGATGGCTGTGCGGGCCTTGACACATTCATCAATATACTCGTCAAATTGTTGGGTACACCTTGCCGCAGAGCGGCACCCTGTTTGTAGCACGGCACCCCTCGCTCTTGCGAGCAGCTGCAGAGCAGCGCCCTGTGATCTACTACCTTTTCTTAATTAACGAACCATATCGAAGAATCTTTCAATTCATAGGGCGCTGCTCTGCAGCCGCGGGAGACGTTGAGGGTTGTATGCTACAAACAGGGCGCTCCTACGGAGCTGGCCAGTGATTGAATTTGGAAACTAGTTTCCTGCAATCGGGATGTCTTTCCGAATTTCTTTGCTTCCACTTATTGATGTAATGGATTGCCTGGCTTTTGTCTTTGCTGGATAATTCCTGGTCGGCATTTACAACACCTGTATATTTCCCAAATTGTTGGGTGGTGCCTGCCGCAGAGCGGCACCCTGTTTGTAGCACGGCGCCCCTCCCTCTTGCGAGCAGCTGCAGAGCAGCGCCCTGTGAATTGCGACAATTTCAAAATAAAAAACGACAAACCGCATCAACAGAAACAACGACTGATCCTATCCTATATTTGTATCTTAAATCTTCTTTGATTGGAAAAAATTTTT